GCTGCTGCTGCTGCTGCTGCTGCTGCTGCTGCTGCTGCTGCTGCTGCTGCAGCGACTTAGGGGGGCTCTGTTTCCTGCCACTCTGTCATCAAACCATCTAGTACAGGCTGCCATACCCTCTCCTCCCAAGTCCTCTTCCAACCTTTCTTGAGCCACAAAATAAAATGGCAGGGCTCTCCTGGCCTCCAGTGTCCTACTGTCTTCTTTCCACCCCATGGCAATGCTCTGACCGGAATTTATTTCTGGAGTCTACCTTCCAACCTCCCATGGTGTCTTCAACCTCTCTGTCCTTTCCCTCTCCTCCTGCCCTAAGGAGACATAAGATGTCCAGTCCCCCTTCCTGAGGGACTCTAGCTCTCTGAAGGAGGGGAGTCACAGACCCTGGGACTGAAGCAAGGATGCAAGCTGGGGGAAACCTGCCAAGACAAGAATCTCACTCTCCAACTCAACCACAAAGCAAGACCCGGGTCTCAGGCCCTAAGGGTACGTCTCTGGACCCCCGAGAGATAAGGCAAGGTTAAAGTATGAGATATCTGTGGATAGCCTGAGTGGTCGTGGGGTTGGAAGACTGAGAGATGGAGTTGGGGTAGGGGGAAATCTGTGGCTTGGCCACGGGGACTCTGGGCGACTGCGGTGACTTACCAGCTCTGGGGTCGGGGCTGCAGTTGCCGGTGCAGAGCCACAGAGAAGCCGAAGAGGCTACCCGGCTCGCCCTCCTTGCGCAGGGCGCCCATCACGTCCAGATTGAAGGCCACAGCCCCCGGGGCGAGCAGTCCAGCCATCAGGGAGCCAAGAAGGTAACAAATCCCGGGGCCTCCCCGAGGATCGCGGCCCGGAGTCCCGGCCATGCGGCGAACCCTGGGCGCGCTCCCCACGAGCGCAAGAAAACTCGCTCGCGCCCGGAGCCGCAGGTCCCCCACGGCCGGTCTTTGGTTTCGGGTCTCGCAGGTGTTTCAGGGGTCTCGCAATCTTTCTCCTCGCCGCCCCTCTCCCTCCGCTCCTCCGCCCCGCTGCTCCACCTCCCCACTGCCCCGCTGCCCCAGCACCTGCTAGGATGACTGCAGCAGCCGCCTCCCGGGCGAGAGCTCGGGCTCCCGCCTCCGCTCCTGGGGGCACCGCCCCGGCACCGCCCTCTGCCCCGCCCCTCGCTCGCGCGGCAGGTGGAGGCTTCGCGGCGTGGTAAAGGGAGATCCAGGCTGGCGACTCTGGGTGGGAACCCGCCTTGCACGCCAGGATCTCCACCCCGGCTTCGGCCCTGCCCCTGCCTGCGCTCTCCTGTCCTCCCCCGACCCCCGACTCCTGCCCAAGCCCGCGAGTGGTGGGGGCGGTGCATGGGAATGGGGAGGGAGAGAGAAGTACAGAAAGAAAGGGATCTAAAAAGAAAAAGGAGGGTAAGAAATGATAAGTGCTTGAGGCTAAAGGACAGTCTGGGAAGAGAGATGTACACAGGGAGATGAAAGGGCAGGGTCCTGTGTGGTTCTTTGGTGCTCCCTTCTCTCCGTGATCGCGTAGAGCGCCTAGCATGCTGTTCGAATCAAACCACATCCCGCCCCATCCCATCCCACCCCTCAGAGCCCGGCAGTGACTAGGGCTATGCTAGCCACACGTCTGCAGTCAGGATAGAGGCAAGAGGAGAGAGAGAAATTCCCCAGGTCTGGGGAAAAGAGCAAAGGAGGCAGGTAGAAAGAAAACAGAGAAAAGAGATGGAGAAAGAAGAGCAAGAGTTTGATCAATAAAGAATGGTTTGGAGGTTAGGGCGGGTAGGGAGTGCGGGGGGCGGGGGGGGGGGGGGGTGACGGACTGCCTATAGAGCAGTCTATAGAGCATGCTACTCTTGCTGGGGGGGGTGGTGAGCAAGCCCTACATGGGGAAAAAAGAGAATAAAAAAAAAAAAAAAAAAAAGAGGGGGGAGTGTTGGAATGAAGGGGAGAAAAGAAAATTACTGAGGGTGATTGATAGAGGAAGAGGAAATTAATTAAGCTGGGGAAAAGGGAGTTGAGGTCAAAGAAGGGCAAGGGCAAGGATGAAAAAGATTGTACCCAAGAGGCAGAGAGATGAAAAGGAGGTCTTTGGCTCTCAGACCTCTTCCCTGAAATGTCGGTTTCCCCCCCTTTGACGGGAAAGAATTGGAGAAGGCAGCTTCCCTGTGGGCTGGTCCAGGCAGGATCTGGGTGGGGCTTTGCAAGATCTCCACAGGGACCGGCAAGCCTGTATCTCTTCCTCTCCCTTCCCCCCAGGCTGGGACTGAAGCAAAGGGAGGGGGGACATTTTCCAACCCTCTGCTATTTATAACTCCGATCCAGAAATGGGGCTAGGAGGAGAGATAGGAAATAATTTGGCACAACTGGAACCTCGCTTGCTCCCACCTCCTCTATTCACTGGCTCCTCTACTCACTGGGTGATGGTCTTGTGTATATCCACCTGTCCGTCTTTCCCTTCCCTCTCTCACTATCTGGTTTTGTCTCATCCCAAACTCTATTTTTGTCCCTTTTCTTGTCTCTATCACTTGGAACCCTTCTCCAAAGATTTCTCAATGTCTCTAATGTTGTCTCTATCATATCCTTAGGATTTTCTTTTCTCATCGGGTGCCTGGCTGGCTCAGTTGGTAGAGCACGCAACTCTTAATTTCAGGGTCATAAGTTTGAGCCCCATGCTGGGGGGAAAGATTACTTAAATAATCTTTTAAGTAATAAAGATTAAAGATTACTTTAAATACTTTATTTTTTTTAATTACTTTAAATACTTTACTTTTAAATAAAGATTACTTAAAAAAATATTTTCTCGGGGCGCCTGGGTGGCTCAGTGGGTTAAACCTCTGCCTTCGGCTTAGGTCATGATCTCAGGGTCCTGGGATCAAGCCCCGCATCGGCCTCTCTGCTCAGTGAGGAGCCTGCTTCCCCATCTCTCTCTGCCTGCCTCTCTGCCTACTTGTGATCTCTCTATCAAATAAATAAATAAAATCTTTAAAAAGAAAAAGAAAAAATATTTTCTCTTCACCTCCCTTTATTAAAAGCCCCAATGTCCCCTACCTAATTTCTCTTCCCATGCTCCCTTTGTCTCTCTTACTTCTTTTTCCAAGATTATACTTTTATTTTATTTTTTTTTTAAGATTTTATTTATTCATTTGACAGACAGAGATCACAAGTAGGCAGAGAGGCAGGCAGATAGAGAGGAAGGGAAACAGGCTCCCCGCTGAGCAGGGAGCCCAACGAGGGGCTCGATCCCAGGACCCTGAGATCATGACCTGAGCCGAAAGCAGAGGCTTTAACCCACTGAGCCACCCAGGCGCCCCAAGATTATACTTTTAAAAACAAACAGAAGGGTAGCCTCTCACTCTGTTGGTCCTGAGACAATCATTGTCCTGGGTAAGTTACTATACATTTGAATATCTGGGTCTCCGTTTTTGCAACAATACACTGTAGACATCCCCTCCAGGGGACTAGCACAGCTCCAACTAGGGACTATCGAGGAAACACATGTGCTGCCAACAAGCAGGAACCAGGAGCCTACTTTATTATCCCCCACATCTGCCCTCTTTGTACCTTATCTATCACAGAGCCCCAACACAGTAGAGCTGATATAAGAATGCAGAATAGTACAATCAATATGGAACCCAGGACTCCTGACTCTGAGTTGAGATCTCCTACCAAGGTCAAATGCCTTCAGAAGCCCAGGTGCCTTCCTCTCTGCTGCACCTGTGATGTCTGCCACCCTTCATCTTCACCCTGCTGGCTCCTGCTAAATCCAGGGCTGAAATCAGATGCCAAGAATCTGCTTCTGACCTCCTCTGCCCAAATATTTGAGAAGTCATCTCACCCGCCACAGGAGGAAGGAGCAGGAAAAGAGAGAGAGAGAGGCTGCTCAAAATTAGCCTGGCTATAAATAGTGGGGCAAGGGAGGGTGAGAAGGGGGGAATGTAAGAGTCCTAGACCAGCCTAGTAAATTTAGACATGTCGGTTTTCCCTAAAGGAGAAGTGAGACCAGATTGTTGGAATGGGACACAATGTTGTAGGTGAAGGGGGGTGGGGCACAGAATGAAGAAGCTAGAGGGATCTGGAGAATGAAGCTCCGTGTTTGAATAAACAAACCTGCTGAGAACTTCTTGTGTTTGAGTCAAGAGTTGGAAATTCACGAAATTAAAACTATAGAGATGACGAACAGATTAGTGATTGCCAGGGGACAGGGATGGGAGGAGGTAAGTATAAATAGATAGCACATTACATCTGAAACTAACAACACTGCTTCCTGGGTTTGATATTGTGCTACAGTTATATCAGATGTCACCAGGAAGGGAAGCTGGGTGAAGGGTACATGGGACTTCATGTACAATTTTTGCAACTTCCTCTGAGTCTATAACTATTTCAAAATAATTTTAAAAATTGATTAATGTCCAGGCCCAGCAAAGGCTTCACCCCTATTGGAGCGGAAGCTGGGGCTTTCTCCAGCCCCTTCCCCCTTTAACAACCTTCTTCTCTTTCATCTGGGATCCCTGTTTTTCAGCTTCCCTGGATTACACATTTTCCAGCTGCTGCCTCTAGCTTACAGGCAAACACTCCCAGAACACACTGCAGGGTTAACTTCTCCCTCCACTTCATCTGGCAGCAGAGTCTTAGAGCATATGTCCCAGGGTCAGCCTCTTCCTCCCCAACACACACAACAGGAGGACTTTCTCACCCCACCCACCTCTCCAGCACTGGAATCCTTCTGCCTGCCTCTGAATTCTGGCTGTAGCCAAAGCTTGAACTATGGGAGTGGCTGGGAGAGAGAGAATATAAATGTGATTGAGAGGAATCACTGGAGAAATGACTGCTCTCATCTTTGAGGATACAAGGGAAACCCATGCATTTTCTGGAGGACTGGGAGGTTACTTCCCACAGGGAGCCATTTAGACTGTCTTGAGGGCCCCTTTTCTTTGAGCACTGGCCTCAGGCCAACATTTGGAACTTGGCCACACCACCAACAGTACCCTCCCGCCCCCTGGAAACCCAGCCAGACTTCCCAGTATGAGAAGCCTCCTGCACTCACTCCATGTTCTCCTTCAGTCCTCCTCACCCAACCCTTAACAACTCAGCAGCTTCTGGCCTTCATGTTTGGCCCAGGCATTCAGTTTAGAACTTGCTAAGTAAAGCTAACTCACAAGAAGACCTCAAAAGAACAAAGAAATGAGAGGGGAGGGAAAGGAGCGTGGAGTTGCATTCATTCATTCTAAGAGAAAATAATCTGTGGGGTGGGAAGGAGTTTAAGGAGATGTTGGCAGAAAGAGATTTCAAACATCAAGAGTCATTCTCCAGAAACACATGAAGCTTGTGTCCAATCAACCAAAGGCGGGTGGGGAGCTGAGCTTCAACTCAGCAGAAACTGAAGTTACACAGTGAGCAACAAAAGCCTAGAAAAAAATAGCATCTGGAGGATGATGCTGGAGAGATCAGCTGGGGTCCCCAGATGGAGGTCCCCATGTTCTCTGCCCAGCTCTAGGGCAAAGGAACAGCCAGTGCATGGGGAGGGGGGCAGGGCTGATGTCTGCAGATTCCTGGCAGTCTCTATACTGACTGTGAAAATGTCAGGCGATTGTGCCAGGGGGGTGACGGCAATACAGGATGGGCTGGCACTCTCCCTGAGTCAGCCTAATCTTAACATTCAAAAACTCGCCACCGAAACCCCCAACACCAACCCCCTCATTAGCCCCTGCCCTCTGTTTTACATCCCCAAATAACTATTTTCTGGTACCCCCTCCAACCCCTGCTCTTCTCTCCCAGGCCCCACAGCTCTGGGAGTGAGGCAGCAAGGATCTTCCAATGTGCTTCTATTTTGCTGGCTCACTGCAGTTGGAAGCTGGAGCCAAGCGGGGGTTGGGGGAAGGACTGGACTAGGCTGCCCAGTGATGCTCTCACTCTTCCCGCTTCTATTGATCAGCGCCCCACTGGAGCGAGGCCTCTTCCCAAACATTCCTCCCCTACCAGGATTCCCTTCAAATGGACCCACAGGCTAGAAGGGCATAGTGACAAGACACAGAACTTCCCATCCTGGGGTCTCTTTCCCACGGTTAATGCAGCATGGAACAGTGGTTACACTCAGGCTCTGAAATCAGATAGCCTGGATTTGTAGCCTAGCTCTGCCACCAAGCTCTATTACTCAACCTCTCTGTCCCTCAGATTCTTCATCTGAAAATTGAGGGCAACAGTAATTCAGTGCCTCTGATAGTTCTAGGGATTAAATGAATTAGTATGTGTAAAGTGTTTGACCTATGGTAAGTACTCTGGAAATGCTGGGAAAATAAATCAGAGTACACATATAAGCATAGACATTTACATATGCAGTATTGAACATTTTTATTCAGAATTTTTATCTTGGTGGCATTTTTTTAAAGATTTTATTTATTTATTTGTCAGAGAGAGCAAGTGCACAAGCAGACAGAGGCAGAGAGAGAAGCAGGCTCCCTGCCAAGCGAGCCCGATGTGGGACTCAATCCCAAGACCCTGGGATCATCACCTGAGCCAAAGGCAGCGGCTTAACTGACCGAGTCACCCAAGCGTCCCTCTTGGTGGCATTTAATGCTCTGCTTTATGCTACCACTTTACATTTCATTCACTAATCCTTTCAAGGGTTGCACACCTCCCAGGATTTAAGATGCTACTCTGAAAACAGCTGAATGTCTGTTTAAATCAGCACCTATTTCTAACACCTAAATAAATAAGCACCTATTTCTCTTCCCCTCTAAGTATATATCGTGAAGCCAATTTTCTACTATGTAACTGAATCACAAAATGAGAGAATGCCAAAGTTGGGAACAGACCTTAATATGGTTTAGTCCAGTGATTGGCAAAGTCCAATGCAAACTAGAATCAGCTGAACAACTTCTTAAAGTTTTTTAAGATTTTATTTATTTATTTGACAGACAGAGATCACAAGTAGGCAGAGAGGCAGGCAGGTGGGGGAGAGGAAGCAGGCTCCCTGTGGAGCAGAGAGCCCGATGTGGGGCTCAATTCCAGGACCCTAGGATCATGATCTGAGTGGAAGGCAGAGGCTTAACCCACTGAGCCACCCAGGCGCCCTTGAACAACTTTTTAAAAAATACTTGCCTGGGCTCCACTCCTTAGAGATCCTGTTACTCAATCTAGGGCCAGGGCATTTTTAAAAACTTCCCCAGGTGGTTCTAATGTTTAGCTGAGGGCTGAGAACTACTGATTTAATCCAATCCCCTTATTTTTCTAGGGAGAAAACCAAATCCAGAGCATAAGCAAGTTGCCCAGAGACACTCAGCCCGTTGGTGTGTGGTGTGTGGTGTGTGGTGTGTTGGTGTGTGGTGAACCAAGAGAGCTGATGGCAATAGCAAGAATAGGTTGATGATGTTTATAATTCTTTCCTGTTGGAGTTAATCCCGGGAGCATTTCTCTTTAGTTCAGAGAGGTGTTACATGATTTACCTTTTACTGAGACATTATTCTGGTAAGACTGAAAGGGTTCGCATTCCCTGACCACATAAGGACAGAGATGGGATTATACATTCACCACACACAGCCAGCCAAATTAGCAAAGCTCCCGAAGAGGTCGCTTGAAATGCCGAAAATGCCTCTTCTCCACCGTGATCACCCAGAGCTGAGGGATCTTGGCAGGGTGGTGAGAAGCGAAGGGGCTGGAAAAAAGAGGAAAGCATTCCTTCCCAGGGGGTGGGTGCTGAGAATCAACGGAGAACCGACCAAAGCTGCCAGGAGGGAAAGGCGAGGAAAGGAAAAGAATTTCAATGAGCCCAGGGAGCCTCTGCTCCCCCCAAAACGGAACAATGATGCACAGTCCGGAAGTACCGACCCTCCCGGGAGCCCTGAGATCCAAAGGAGACGATCAAAACGGGCTCTGCAATACGGATACTAAAGAAAACTTCTCCCAACACTCACCAAAAAGGGAGCCCCCCCGCCCAGTAAAGACCAGAGTTCACTCGCCCCCAACCCTCTGCTAGTCCCTCCATTCAAAGCCAAGCTCTTCCACGCTCTCCACCCCGCGGCCTCAAAAAGGGGCGGTCCTGGCTTCACGTGACATTGCGGTCACGTGACCCAGACCCCGCGGGAGCCGAGGTACGGGTTCCAGTTCCCGGAGTCGGAGGGGGCCGGGCGCGCCCAGCCCCCAGCCCGCCGCCACCATGCTGTCACGCCTGCTGAAAGAACACCAGGCCAAGCAGAACGAACGCAAGGAGCTGCAGGGTGAGCCGATCGTCCCCGTCCGCTGTTTTCTCTCCCGCCGCGGCCTAGCCTCAGCCCGGAACCTGGAGCTCGAGTAACCGCCCGGATCCTGGGAAGGACGCGGGCTGGTGGGCGCGGGCGTCGGAGAGGGGGTGGGGGCGCTTTTTTGGAAATGCCATTACCTTGCCAGCGGGCTCTAGTGCCTTTGACTACGCTGCGAGCCGCCCCTCCCCGCCCCCCCCCATAACGCCCCCCACTCTCAGTTTCCGCGCATTCTCCTCTGGCCCCCACGCGAGGAACAGCGCTGTGCGGATTGGCCCAGGGAGCCTCTGGTCCCAAAAGTGGGAAGGGAGGCTCCTGGGGGAGGAGCGTGCTGGGGCCAGGCTGAGATGAGATTCTTGGAGGCCTGAAACCACGGAAATGGGGGTGGGGCCCTTCCAGGATCTGGCCTGGGAATCGGGGAGTTACTAATCCTCAAGCCAGGAGAGTGGAAAATAGTGCCGGGGGTCTGGAGTCCTGGGCGCCGCCACTGACTCGTTAGCGTCTCTGGGCGAGTCGCTTCCGTTCCCAGGGTACCAGTTAATTCACCTCTAAGAAGAAAAGACTAAAGGGAAAAAAAAATTTTTTTAATAAAATGAAAAGGCTTGCTTTATGTTTTGCAAAGTCTGTTTCATCCCCAGCACTGTAAGGTTTGTTGAGATGTTCCTGCTACTAGCGGAATAGCAGTGAGTGTCGGCCCTTTAGCACCACCCTTCAAAAAACCGATTCTCTACTCCAATCCCTTTTCCCCTCATCCCTAGAGAAGAGGAGGCGAGAGGCTATCACTGCAGCGACCTGCCTGACAGAAGCTTTGGTGGATCACCTCAATGTGGGGTATGAACTTCTTCCCATCAACACCATTACCTCCCCACCCCCCGCAAGTTTAGGCTTTGGCAAGGTCCAACCCTCAGACTGCTGTTGAGGGGGTGGGATGTTCCATCATTCCCTCCCCTTCCCCAGCTTAACTTTATGGGGAGAGCTTGAGTCAGCTCTGACCTCTAACATTGCACTAGGAGGAGCAGCTGCAGTGGTTGGAGAAGCAGCCAGATTCCCCTCTCCCCACAATAACCTCCCTGGTGCTCACAGCTTGATGCCATCTGCCCACTTCCCTTCATCCCTCCAAGTCCAGCTGTCACTGTGGCAGGAGGGAGAGCACTCTCCTTTGCCAGAACTTGCCACCCTCTCCTTCTCTACCTCCCGCCCTCAGGCAGGCCTGGGGAGCAGCTGGCAGGAAAGAGATGGCGCAGCTGGTGAGGGTGAGGGCAGAATCTACGTCAGGAGCTATAGCAGAGCCAAGCCTTCTTGTCCCTTCCTTCCCAGTCTCCAGAGACCGCCCCCCTGCGCCAATCCTATAGGAGAATGCCAGTAACAACCAAAGACTTGGGAAGGAGCAAAGAATATGGTCTCTTGACCCTGAGTAACCCAGAAGAGTGCTGAGATGATGACTGGAAGAAAAGGGGCAGTATGATGCCTTCTACCCCAGGACAAGTAGAATAATTGGTTGTGAATGCAGAGACTGAGTCACCCAAGTGAGCCATGCAGGGACTGTCATCTTAATTACTCATCTCTGGGGAAGATTAGGGGACAAGAAGCCTGTGGTTGAGGCCTCTGATCTCCCTCCCCTGCAGACCTCTTCCTTCACTCAGTGTGAAAGTGGGAGGTCAACAGGAAAAACTAGGGTTTTAGGAACTCCCAGGGGAATCTCTTAAAGCATCGGGAGCCCCCTGCTATTGCTGTTTGAGCTCCTGCACCAGCCTGTACTATGGCCAAGCTGTCTCCCAAAGAGAAAGGACGGGGTCTGCCCCCTTTCCTCCCTCCCACATTGGCGCCTCTTGGGCTCTGCTCTGAGATTGGCCCAGGCTTCTCGCTCCGCTCCTCCTTTGCTAGGGGCCACCCCTCTTTCAGTTTAGAGGACAGCTAAGCCAAAGCCAGATTAGAAAGGGTTTTGTGTTGCTGCCCACGGGTCCTCTCATTCCCTGGAAAGGAAAACAAAGGCTCAATCTATCTCAGCCCCTGTCAGGTGTCCTTCCCATTCTCTCCACCCTCCCCAACCCCTTGCCCCCTCCAACCCCCACAGATTCCGGTTGGGGGTGGGCACCGGATGTGGAGTCTCCCAGATGACCTAGAGCTTTAGGATGGGGAGTCAAAAGACTCTCCAGCCAATGAGAACAGTAGTTGTGGGATGGGGAGGTTGGGGGAAGAGGGGCAGGGTAGGGGGTTGGGGGTAGCAACCTCAAGGCATTAACAATAACTGCAGCCAGTCTTGATTGAGGAAAAAAGAAAAACTGCCTAGAGCAGAAGGAAGAAAGGGTGAGAGAGAGAGAGACAGATTGTGTGTGTGTGTGTTTGTGTGTGTGTGAACCTTCATCTGTGTGGGCGAAAGGAGAAGGGTTGGGAGAGAGACTGAGAGCCAAGAAGAAGCCCCTGAGATATCTTCCCTTGACCCTGAGTTCCTGGGGAGGGGGGCTGCTCTCCCATCCCACCCCAGATTCAGGGAGGGGCCCAATTTCCCTTCCCAACTTCTTGCACAGATCCCTGGGCTTCCAAGCATGGCCAGATTTCTCCCTGCTGCTGGATTTTCCCAGCTTCTCCTTTACGCTTCCAGCTTCTTCCCCTGGGATATTCCCTCCAGGTTAATCCTCCCTTCTCTCACCTAGCTTTAGGAATTCCTTTGATGGGGTAGGAGATGGTAAGTTTTCAGTCAGCTCCCAGCTAGGCTCTCCTGGGAATGCTGAGAGTGGGAGGAAGAAGCTGGTTCATTTGCATGAATGGTAGTCATTTGCATCACATCCAAGAACAGCCAAAATCACACGGTTTTCCCCAGTTTGACTGCTGGCTGCCCTCCCACCCTTGCAGTGGAATATTAGTCCGGGAGACCACTCCCCATTGGATGGGGGAGTTGATCTCATCCCTCTTCCAACCTCTAGTGTGGCCCAGGCGTACATGAACCAGAGAAAGCTGGACCATGAGGTGAAGACCCTGCAGGTCCAGGCTGCCCAGTTTGCCAAGCAAACAGGCCAGTGGATCGGGATGGTGGAGAACTTCAATCAGGCACTCAAGGTGGGCCACACTCCCTACATCCGTGGGACCCTATTAACTGCCTCCAGGCAGGTCAGTTCACGGCTCAGTTTAAAAAGGAAATGGGGATGCTCCCAGCAATTGTTGGTATCTGTGGCCCCAGTGTCAGAGAAGCTAGAGAGATAAAAGTAATTGGTGGGTTCAAGCAGAGCCTCTTCTAGGGGATGTGTCTCCTTAGAGCCACACTCTACCCTACACACTCTGACTCGCAGCCTCCCACCTCCTCCCCTTCCCAGGAAATCGGGGATGTGGAGAACTGGGCCCGGAGCATCGAGCTGGACATGCGCACCATTGCCACGGCACTGGAATATGTGTACAAAGGGCAGCTGCAGTCTGCCCCCTCCTAGCCCCTCCCCCCTTCCTAACCCCTACCCCACCCCTCCTGCCTCCTCCATGGGGGAAGCTGATAGGCCAATAATAAAACACAAGCCTCCATTTCTGTGTGGTATGTTTCAAAGAGCTACTAGCCCAGCATGGGTGGATAGGAGTGGAAGATTCAAAGACCGTTTCCCTAAGTGACAGTTACCTTTTGGGTAAAGGGTGGAGCGAGCGTCCTCTTACCATCCCACCCCTCTTTCCCTCTTTGGGCCTGGTGCAGGTGCATGTTGCATGAGCAGAGGGCGGAAGTTTCCCACACCTCCCCAGAGAAGGTTAGTGGGCTCTGCCCCAAGCTTCCTAATTCAGGACTTTGGTTCCGCGCAGAGGAGAAATATGACAGGGAGCAGGCTTGGTCCCCGCTCTGGCGCTCTGCCTTTCCACGTGCTCGTGGCCTCTCCCAGCCTGGTGCTAAGCAGTGTCATGAGTCCGGACCAGGTTGGGGATTAATTCTTGGGCATGGGGGCACTTCAGGGCTGGGAAGGAGGAGGAGTGGCAGGTCCAAGGTCACCAACAGAGAGGGGCAGCTGATGTCGTTGACATATCCCTCCTCCTGACAGAGGCGGTCAGGCACCCCCCCGGCTGGAGGCTGCGGCAGGCCTGGCCTGTGCCAAGCATTGGCTTTGACTGCCAGGCTCCAGCTTCCCTGGCTCCTCCTCCCAGCCTCTTCCCTAATAACCCCCCACACATACTTAATACCTCTGGGACCCAGGCCACCCGCTGTGGACTTTGGCATTAGCAGTAGCTAGTGCGGGGAGCCTGGAAAGACTGGGAGCAAAGTCTCTCAAACAGAGCACGAGAAGGAGCTTCGGGCACTGTACTGCCTGCTAGCTTTCCCCAGAGGAGGTAAGCAGGGTCCCGGGAGCTGGGGGCTCTGAGGGGGCTCACCTGATACCGCACGTGTTGATAAGTCAAAGCCGGAAGCTTTTCATGCGCTTCCTCACACTTGATTGCCCTTGACCCTCCACAGCTCCCAGCTGGGCCACGGCTGGTGTTGGCCCCGCTGGTAGAATAGAAAACAGGTTCAGAGATGCGGTGAGACACTCAGCATCACACAGTAAGTTTGGGGCCAACAGGGCTGAAGTGCTCTGTGCCCTGTATGTGTTTCCAAAAATAAGGCCTAGTTTACATGGAGAGAATTCAGATGTCGCTGGCTGAGCAGGAGAGCTGAAAGCCAGCCAGATTCCTCTGCTCGCGTGCGTGCCAGAATCTGCACCCTGGCTCCGGCCCCTCGGGCTCTAGTTAAGGTAGCCCCCGATACAGGGTCTGCCTTGCTCTTTGATTGGCTTAAATGAGCCAGAATTTGCCAAGCAGAGAACTTCTCAGTCTGCTCAGAGCGGACTACCAACTAGGGAGGATAATAGGGGCAAGGGTTTCCAAGCCCGAGTAAACCAGACAAGTTCTCCCGTCCAGCCTCGGCTGCCACCTGCAGGTTGCTTGGGCTCTGGCCATGTGGCTGCCCCTGCTGCTGGGAGTCTTGCTCTGGGCAGCGCTGTGGTTGCTCAGGGACCGGCAGAGCCTACCCGCCAGCGACGCCTTTGTCTTCATCACTGGCTGTGACTCAGGCTTCGGCCGGCTTCTGGCCCTGAGACTGGACCAGAGAGGCTTCCGAGTCCTGGCCAGCTGCCTGACCCCCTCAGGGGCAGAGGACCTACAGCGGGTGGCCTCCTCCCGCCTCCACACCACCCTGCTGGATGTCACGGATCCCCAGAGTGTCCAGCGGGCAGCCAAGTGGGTGGAAACACAGGTTGGAGAAGCAGGTGAGTAGCGCGGGGCCTCCAGGACCGTGGGGCCACCGGTACCATGGTGCAGGGTGCTCACAGGGGCCTCAGGAAGCTGGAGGGACGGCGTGGGGAAGGAGAGCAATCTGGAGAGAGCGCGTTGGAATGCCTTACCCACCCTGTGCTATCTGTCTCCTCTCTCCTCAGGGCTTTTTGGTCTAGTGAATAACGCTGGTGTGGCCGGGATCATTGGGCCCACCCCATGGCTCACACAGAACGATTTCCATCGGGTGCTCAACGTGAATACACTGGGTCCCATCGGTGTCACCCTTGCCCTACTGCCCCTGCTGCAGCAGGCCCGGGGCCGGGTGGTCAACATCACCAGTGTTCTGGGTCGCCTGGCAGCCAATGGCGGGGGCTACTGTGTTTCCAAGTTTGGCCTGGAGGCCTTCTCTGACTGTCTGAGGTGAGGGGTGCAGAGCCCTGGACTGCCCTGCAGAGATGACTAAAACACAGCATAGTGGGATCCTGAGAGGAGACAGTAGGGCTCAACTTTGTGGGTTCAAACCCCAGTCTCCTCTCATGGGAGCTTCATGACCTTGAGAGGTTACCTCTCTTTACACCAGTTCATTCCTCATTTGTTAAATCAGGATGAGAATATCTACCTCATGGGTGCTGGGAGTAAAATGAGGTACTTCTAAGGCTGCCATAGAGCCTGGCACGTAGAAAATGCCCCAAGAAGTCTGCTATCATTATTAGTATTCTTTTTTTTTAATTGAAGATAGAGCATGTGCATGCGAGCACAAGCAGAGGAAGGGATGGAGGGAGCAGGAGAAGCAGACCCGCTGCTGAGCAGGGAGCCTGACTGGGGCTCAATCCTAGGACCCTGAGATCGTGACCTGAGCCAAAGACAGACACTCAACCACCTGAGCCACCCAGGTGCCCCTAGTATTATTATTAGTAACTGTTACTTATGGTGAACTAGTACTTTTACAGAACATTCTCTCCTTTATTTCTCCCAGCAACCCTCTAAGGAATAGGCATTGATATCTGCAGGGTAACATAACTGACCCCAGACCACACAACTAGTTAGTGGAAGCAGTGGGACTTACCCCAGATCTGCTTGCCCCTCATCTTTATGTTTTCCTGCCCTCATCTTTAAACAGTAATGTTCAGGGGCACCTGGGTGGCTCAGTCAGTTAAGCAGCTGCTTTCAGCTCAGCTCATGATCCCAGGGTCCTGGGATCGAGCCCCTTGTTGGGCTCCCTACTCCATGGGCAATCTGTTTCTCCCTCTCCCACTGCCCCCAACTCCTGCTTGCTTTGTGTAGTGCGCACTCTTTTTCTCCCTCTCAAATAAATAAAACCTTTTTTTTAAAAAAAGAAATTTTTAAAAATTAAATAATGTTCAAAGTCCCATGAGAACACAAAGGAGACTTGACAAGTACCACACAGGAGCAGGGCCTGCCTCCCAGCCAGCCCACCTTCTGTAGGAAGTCTGCCTTCTACACCGTCACTCAGCAAAGAATTTCATATACTTTCGTCCCTATCCCTTGGTTCTTTAATTTTCCAATCAGCATCATGGAACACATGCTTGATACTTGGATTTCTGCATCTGTGTCAAGGAGGTTAGATGTGTCTCTGCAGTCTGCAGCAAATACCAGTCTACACCCTTCATGTCCAGCACTCAGGACTCAACCCTGTGCTCTAGGACCTAGGGAATGGGGTAGTTCCAGGTCAGGAGTTGGCAAACTGGTTCTCAGGCAGAATCTGGCCAATTACCTACCAGCTAATAATGGTGTTTACATTTTATTATTTTTTAAAGGTTATTTGAGAGAGAGAGCATGTGCATGGGGGCAGAGGCAGAGGGAGGAGAGAGAATCTCAACCAGAGCCCCCAGCTGCCACAAGGCTTGGTCCCATGACCCCGAGATCACCACCCAAGTCAAAATCAAGAGTCAGATGCCCAACCAACTGAGCCACCCAGGCGCCACTGGTGTTTACAATTTTAAATGGTTACATTGTTAATGGTTATGTAAGTACCTGCCTGATATCAATAATTTTTAGGCCCGTGTTGCCAAAAATATTAACTGTCTGGCCCTTTAAGAAGTTTACTGGGACGCCTGGGTGGCTCAGTGTTACTAAGCGTCTGTCTTTGGCTCAGGTCATCCCAGGGTCCTGGGATTAAGCCCCCATTGGGCTGCTCTATGGTAAGCCTGCTTCTCCCTCTCCCACTCCCCCTGCTTGTGTTCCCTCTCTCTGCTGTGTCTCTCTCTGTCAAATAAATAAATACAATCTTTAAAAAAAAAAAAAAAATTTACTGACCCCTGTTCTAGATCTTAAGAGTACAAAGGGAAACAAACCTCAAAAATACATGGCACATTTGCCCCCATCCCAGAACAGCAGGGATCCCCTTTTCCTTCAGGACCCCGGTCCCTAGCTTGTGATAACTTTCCCATTTTAGCCCCTACAACCAAGTCCCCGAGGATCCCTTTCCTAATTAGGGGAAGAAGCCAGAAACCTCCCTCTATCCCCATCCAGGCGGGATGTGGCTCATTTTGGGGTCCGAGTCTCCATCGTGGAGCCTGGCTTCTTCCGAACCCCTGTGACAAATCTCAAGAGTTTGGAGGATACACTGCAGGAGTGCTGGGCACGGCTACCTTCTGCCACACAGGCCCGCTATGGGGAGGCCTTCCTCACCAAATGTGAGTATCTGGGCCCACACGGGCACATGAAGGGAAATGAGAGCGCCAGAAAGGCCCGTCCTACACCAGCCTGCTGGGAGGAGGTGAGGGGTGAATTGGGGTGCCAGAGAAGAACACCCAGGCCATTTGGAACCTGCCCACTTGCCATACTGGGGAGCCACTAAGGAGCCCTCTGACCTTTGCTGGGGACCAGCTCTAGAACCCAGAATATAGGGCCTGAGATGGGCCGGAGTGGGAAGGGACACTGATTACAACCATCTCCTGGAATGCAGACTTGGAAGTACAGCAGCGCGTCATGAACCTGATCTGTGATCCAGACCTGACCAAGGTGAGCAGGTGCCTGGAGCATGCCCTCACTGCTCGTTACCCCAGAACCCGTTACAGCCCAGGCTGGGACGCCAAGCTGCTCTGGCTGCCAGCCTCCTACCTTCCAGCCAGCCTGGTGGATGCTGTGCTCACCTGGCTCCTTCCCAAGCCTGCCCAGGCAGTCTGCTGAATCCAGCCTGCCAGCCTTCTGTCCCCACCCAGGTACTGCCTAATGCCTGGCATAAAACATGTACTGAATAAATGTCTTGCTTAAAAAACAAAAAACACTGTAGATGGGCAGAAATGAAGTTGTCCAGTGGGAGACTGACCCCATTTAAGCCCTGCCCCCTAGGCTGACTTGATGCTGGAGTCTCTGGCCTGTTTACTATCTGCAAAGCCACTAGTAACCACTGGGTGTCACCCCCAAACCCCAGGCCCTCTGGCATCTGAAGGGTCCTTTGAAGCTGCACCTGGAATGGCCACCAGAGGGCACTGTTGGACATTTATTTTCTATGAGGAGTACCTATTTTTCTTAAGAGGGAGGGAAGGTAGTGAGTAGGGGTCCGGATCAGGCTGAGTGGTTTCCATGGAGGAAAAAAGGCAATACCAACTTAAATTATCCCCTCTCTCTCTTTTTTTTTTTTTTCATTTTTTTTTTTTAGATTTTTTTATTTATTTGACACAGAGAGAGATCCCAAGTAGGCAGAGAGGCAGGCAGATAGAGAGGGGGAAGCAGGCTTCTTGCTGAGCAGAGAGCCCGATGCAGGACTCGATCCCAGGACCCTAGGATCATGACTTGAGCTGAAGGCAGAGGCTTTAACCCACTGAGCCACCCAGGCGCCCCTTTGTTTTTTTTTAAATAAGAGTTTCTTTGAGATAGAGCGAGCAAAAGAGAGCATGAGTTGGGGGGGAGAGGCAGAGGGCACAAAAGAGAGCATGAGTTGCGGGGGAGAGGCAGAGGGCGAGGGAGAAACAGACTCCCCACTGAGCCGGGAGCCTGACACATGGCTCAATCCCAAGACCCTGGGGTCACGACCTGAGCCAAAGGCAGGACATTTAACTGACTGAGCCACCCAGACGCCCCCTCCTTTTTTACATTTTTATTTGAGACCCTGCAAGTGAGGGAAGGGGCAGAGGGAGAGAATAGCAAGCAGACTCCCTGCTGAGCTGGGAGCTAGACATGGAGCTTGATCTCATGACCCTGTGATCATGACCTGAATCAAAGTCAAGAATTGGACACTCAACCGACCAAGCCAACCAGGAACCCCTAAATTGTCCTCTTATCTAATGGATACGGGCCACAAAGTTGTGATAGCAATTTATCACTACCCTAAAAGGAGCCGGGTCCCCTTTGTTGGGAGGGAGTTGCTAGGCCCTCAGAGGTGGGCAGAACACCAGGGAGATGTCCCTGGTAGATGTGGGCTGGCCTCTCCCAGGTAGGGCCATTGTGGGGAATCCCTCTGACTTTGGCAGGAGATGGCTTCATGAACATTGCAGCCCCAAAGTTGGCAGCACAGGACTAGGAGACAGGGAGGGCCGTGGGCCCCAGCCCCTCCAGATCCCCACTTCCACTGCCAACCCCACCAGTGTCTTAAGCAAAACCCGCCTTCCCCCAACAACCACCCCCCCACCACCATACGCCTTTCTTTACTGAGGTGCATATAGAACAGGATCCCAGAGGACAGGAACACAGGTGAGGAGAAGGAAAGGATAAAGTATCACACTTCAAGACAAACTGAGACCATTTTTTTTTTTTTCAGTCTGAAAAAATAATCCGTTTAATTGAAAAACCTGGAGTGTACTACCCCACTCCCTTAGATGAGGAGACTGAAGAGACCAGACACCCTACATCACTTCATAGCCACTCCGGATACTCTTCACGAGGCAGCAGGCAAAAACAATTCCCAGTACCTAAAAGTAAAGAGAGAGGCGTGGAAAGGAGTCAGAAAGGCAAAGTATCCCAGGCCCACCCAGCAGACCCCAAACACCACCAGGGCCCCTGTCCCCAGGCCAGGACTTCCCCAGCACCCTCCTCCCACTGCCCCTAGTGCCCAGATGCCCCAGAATGAGTCCCAAAGGTGCCTCTTACCTCCACAAAGGCAATGCCCAGGGCTGCTGCAGCCACCACCAGCACATTGCTCCGTAGCCAGCCCCCAATCTTCTCCACACAGCCCTGAAAGGCAGTAGGCACACAAGGCAAGAACATAATCAGAAACTTCCCACCTACCTTCTCTGTTCCCTCTCTCTCCCCCGCTCTCTGTACCTTTCACCCTACCCCTAGCATTCCCAGACCTCCTCCCCATCCCAGGGCCCCAACCCTCTTCACCAACATCCCTGGTCCCTCTCTCTATCTCAACCCTTGAAATATTTCCCAGGTCTCCCAAGTCCCCTCTATCCCAGTTTCTTCCTTACCTCAGAGTAGATGTTATTTATTTGTAAAGTAGCCCCACAGTCCTTTGTGACATTGATGCAGCAGGAGTCAGGGACTTGGCCCCTGGGCACAGTAGGGACGCTCTCCCAGTCCGTGTAGTTCGCTGCCCCGCAGCATTTAAACTGCGGGAGAGAAGAAATACGGAGTAGAAGGTTAGTATGTGCACCTCCACCTACAGTACAAAGATAAGACTCTTCTTCCCCCTCTACCCCTGCTCCCAGCAACCTTCACTCACATCTTCCTGCATCTTGTCCAGGGCCAAAGTCGTGCGATTATCTTTCCGGTAATTCTGCATCTGCTGCCGGAAGTCCTTATTAAATTCTAACATCACCTGGGAATAAGAAGGGGCACTATTGAGGTCACACTCCAGGGCACACGCATCCCAGAGCAGCGAGACCTCTGAGGCAGGGCCCTCCCCCTTTTCCCCTGCTTACCTTGTCTCTAAACACATAGCCAGCAATGGCTGCGGCCACCTCCACCAGCATGATAAGAGACAGGAAGATGGCAAACTGCAGGCACAGTGGACAAGGGTCAGGCTGGAGTCTTGGTGAGAGTGGCCTGCTGTGGCCCAGCCAGCCTCTAGTTCACTCATGAAGGTTTTCCTCCCCCTCCATAGGGTACCCTCCCCGCAGTCCCAGATACCCACCCTGGCCCCACACCCAGCTCACCGTGATCATAAGACAGTAGTTCTCCTTGCAGGCCCCACAGCAGCCCACAAAGGCCACCAGGAAGAGGAAGGCACCCACTGCGATGATGACCACAGGCAACAGAGAGCCAGGCGTGGCCCCCTGGATAATGGTCTGACTCAGGACCAGCTGGGCCCCTACACCCACAGCAATCAGTCCCACTGCACAGGCCTGTGAGGAGGGCAGGTCAGAATTAGGCCAGACCCACAACCCATCAGCCCTCAGAGCACAGTGGGTACACCCAGGACACAGTCTTAGCCCCATCCCAGAGAGATGGATTCTCATACCTCCAGGAAACTTGACTGCAGGGGAAGAGGATGGCCCATATTTCCCCACAATTTGATCAAATGCCAAAGGAGAAGTTCCCAGAAAGCCTTGACCCCAGGGCACGTATTCCTCATCTAGAGTGGTGCTTCCTATGGGCCTCTAGGGCTCCCAGAACTGCCCTCTATCTTCTAGTGCCCACTCCATCCTCATCAGCTGTTCTAGGGCTCCTCAGGCCCACTAGGCCAGGGAAGAGAAGGGATCAGAAAAAGAGACAGGAGTGGGGTGACCCTCCGTGAATAAAGGGCGGCCTCTGAAGCCAGGAGCCCACGACAGGAACAGACTGTTGTGGGTAAAGAGCCCTTCCCCACCCCCAAGCAGCTGAGAGGAGTGAAGAGGGATGAGGGAATAGAAAGTAAGGAGGAGTAAGGGAGAGAGTAGGGAAGGGTGGGGAAGAGAGGGAAGCCCCACGGCGATAGCTATCAGGCCTGCCGTTGGCTGGTTGCCCCACTGCCCGGTATCACAAGTGGTTGGGTCACCAGACAGGAAGGGCCAGGAGGGGCGAGGGGGAGGGTGCTAGGCACCCACGCTGTCCATTCTTGGTCCAAACAAGCCTCAGAGGACCCGGAAAGCTGGAGGGGGTGGGGTGGCCATGCTGTCTTCGGCCTGTTCCCTGGGCTCTCCTTCCACACATCTGGTCTCCAGCTGCCTTCATTCTCGGCCCCTAAGCCCTCACCACTCCGGATCCAGGTCTCCCCGCACCCTGCCAGCTCGCCCCCCACCGTCCCCCTTCCCACTCACGCAGAAGGCCAGCAGAAGAACGTAGAGCAAGAACTTGACACATTTCATTCCTCCTTCCACCGCCATGGCTGCCGGGCCTGGTGTAGAGGGGAGCGCAGGGGGATGAGAACCGGGCGAAGGGGGACCTCGGTTTCCGTGCTCCCTGCCGGCCCTCGAGGCCTTCCCTGCGCGGCCCCCATTCCCGGCCCCTCCCACCCGGAAACCCGCGGTCAGATCCACGTCTCCCAGCCCCCTCCTCTCCCAGGCTGGAGAGGGGTGGGGGCGACCGCCGCGAAGCCCGGACCCGCCCCGCCACCACCCCGGCCGGGGCCCGCCGACCACTCTCGGCCCGCCAACACCCCCCGCGTTCCAACATCCCCTCCCCACCTAGCCAGCCCCTACAAACGGCCCTCGGCCCAAGCGCGACCCCCAGCCGTCTTCCCCTGCGCTCTGACCTCCCCCAAAACACAAGCGCAGCCCGCCCCCCACCGAACCCTCCCTGGCCTCCAGAACTCCGCAAAGTTGCAAAGCTGCGAGGGCCTCGGGAGCGCCCGGGAGCGCGGCGGGTCTTCGGGGACCCGAGGCGAGCCGCAGCGGAGGAAGCTACCCGCGACCTCCCCCCACCCAAGACAGAGGCCGGCCGTGGACCCCGCGGTCTCACCTGGGCTCCCCGAGGCTGTGCGCTCTTCTCCGGCCGCGGCTCAGGGGCTCTCTAGCGGCGCCCCCCGGCTGCGGCCCCGCCCCGGCCTCCAGCCACAGTCCCCTCCCCCGCCGCCTCCTCCGCCCAGTGGCCGCCCGCCTCCCTCATGTGACGCTGGAACAGCTGCGGCCTGAGTCACCCGGCCCATGAGGGGAGGGCCGAGCCCCCAGTCCGGCCGGGGCCACGTGGCCCCTAGCCGGAAAGCAGCGCCCACCCCCGCGGAGGGAAAGCGGCGAAGGCAGGATCTCAGGGTGCCTGGGGTCCTTCTGGTGCCCTGGTGCCCTGGTCCCCGCGCCACCTCGGGCTGGGAGGGCGGGACCCAACGTCGCCTGGGTTCTGCCCGGTTCGGGCAAGCGGAGGAAGCGTGTGCGAGCCAAGGTGGGGATAGCGGCCCGGAGCTACACTCTTAGGGCCCGCGCCGGGA